CTTTCAATAACTATCATTATTCACGTCTTTGCTTTTCTTACTTTCATTTTTTACTGGTTAATACGTTAATTAAGATGAAATATGTTTCTACTTTCTTCCGATAATTACTAGATGAGCATCAGGGTAAAATCGATTGAATGCAGAATATATTAATTCCATGTGTTTTCTGCACTGATTGTGATAGTTGGCGATATTTTATGCTGTCAGGTTTTCCCACTCCATTCCCTTAGCAATCTGAACTACATGAACACACTGCATGGGAAACTGTCATAAAGTTACTTCCACCAGTATAAATTTCTAGGAAGTTTGGTTTTCGAAAATTGACTGTTTTTAGAACGTGCTTAGGAGATAATTGGGGTTACTGACAGGTAATCTTCTATCTGATGAGAAACACAATGTCTACAGGTCTGATTTGCTATGCGCTCAGTTCTCATCAACTAAACATTGTAGTGTCTCACCTCTCGACAATGGATGTATACATAACTGGGAATTGGATACCACGGACACACAGGCACACAGTGTGAGAATGAAGTTTTAAATGTTAGTAATGTCTTGAGACTGATATCTTGTAGTCTTGAAAGTCAAATCAACGTTTTGCAGACAAATCACAGACCTTAGACAGATTACAGCCATTCATTTGCTTTAGATTAACAGCGGTAACCTAATACTGGACTTGTATACTATTCATTCTCAGGTACTAATTAAATTGGTTGTTCTCATGAGATGCTCCGATACGACGTGGAGCTATACATCACTTGAATGAGATGAAATGCACTTCACCTGGACTGCACACGGTTGCTATTTGAACTTGAATTATATAAATGCGATAAACATTTCACTTTCTGGTATCCTTCACCACAGGATTGTGTTATATGTACGCCCAGAGATTTCGGACAAAAGGTCACTTCAAAGGAGAAGGGGATTGCCACTGTTTCCCTCGCTTCAAAATTCCATAATGGTTTGTTTATTAGATTAATATCAGTAAAAAGTTTGAGCATTGTGGATTAGATCGAATAAAGTATAATTATATTTTAATAGTTTATTAGATGTATCACACAGTGAAACAGTGTTATTTACTGCATGACAGTGTTTCGAACACAATCTGTTATTGTTCATAATCATATCAATTGTAATCACAGGACTTTGAAACTTGAGTTTTATAGTTTTCTTTGTCTTCTCCTATTTGTCGTCATTGGGATAGTAGAATTTTTAGATATCTGTGACAGGTGTTGAACCATTCCTATTACATGTATTTGCGGTTGTTTCGATAAACAAAGCTTCTGTTATCAATCTCTTCCTCCCTCCACCCTGTGACATTTGACTTTAAAACTGTCATCCTATCCCATCCAGCCTATTGTATGGTTGTGTAACTGTATGTAGTGCTGTCTATGGCTGAACTATCCTCTAGATTTCTTGTCTTATTCGGGTCAACTAATCTAGATTTTGCTAGGTGTTTGTGCACAGCTAGTCTGGCTGACCCTGTTCTACTAGTTTGACCTACGTATTTGACCTGACAAATATTGCAGGCGGAGTATTAGATAAACTAAATTGTTTTGTTGTAAAGGCTCCACAGGATTGTTCCTTTAACCGAAAAAGCTTGTTTCTAATTAAGTTTGTGGGTTTGAATGCTACTGTTATTCCTACCTTGTTATGTCCCCTAATCGGTGAAAATTATTTTAACCGAGTTTGTGGGTTTGAATGCCAGCCACTTTTATTCTTGCCTTGTTAAGAATTCTGCCTAAAGTTTCCGAGGCTCTTCATTGCATGCAATTACTACTGATGATTTAGATTCCTTATTTTTGGTGTCGTCATTAATATTATTATTATTATCACTATCGCTACTATTATTTATTTTATTTTTACATTTCATTACATATTTCCTGACTAATTAATCCGGGTAATGATTAAGTTTCAAGGCTTCTTTTATGTGTACCACTTCCTGTCTTAGATTTTCCTTGGTACAACGTAGTTTTTGTGCACTAACGCCCATGCTTAGCGTCCTGAAAAAACTACTCTATATGAACCTTCAATTCAATGGAGATATATCTGCGGGAACACTAAAAAATCGACTGTCGAGCTTACTCAAGAAGACCTTCTCCGCAGCTGAACTACGACCAAATTTCTCCACAAAACCTAAGATTCATGTGAGCGTGAAAGATAAGCTGCCACTGCTGGCCTCATCACTGTGTACTTATCAATTCACCTCCTGGTGTGGAACCAGGTATGTCGGCCGCACCCAGCGTTCGCTTTCCAAGCGTATCACCGAACACTGACCATCATGGTTTTACAAAGGAGAAAAACGATGTCCCCGCAGCTTCATCTAAGAACATCTGATAGAATCCGGACACCAAGCTACACCCCAAACAAACTTCAAAGTCATCTACAGAGTAAGAAGTAGTCTTCCTAAAGGTGTACGAATCAGACTTCTTCAAACTTCACTTGCTTAGTCCTGAACTCTGCATACAGAAGAAGTTCGTTCAGTCACTACACTTGCAATGGAATTAATCTATCTTATTACCCAACAAGTAAATTCTACCTAATCCTTTTTCTTTTCTGTCTCTTCATTAGTATTAATTTGTCTTCTCAATTGTAATATTTTGCATTTTCAACTTTCTTGTTCTCTACTCCCACCAGATTTAATTTCAACACCTCACTACCACTGCTACTGACTTAACCAACGCTTAGTTTCTAGTCATTTGTGTCACGTCATCCAACTTATTTGCTCAATTTCAGTTCTAATTTAAATGGCATTATTATCTACCCCACTTCTACTTGGTCTCTACCTGTAATTACCTCTGTTGCTACCCTGACCTAAGTCGAAACATTTTAGTCAATTATATTACACATCATCTAACTTACTAACTCAATCTTACTTTAGTTGCTGTCCAACTAACCTTGTTTCTATACTAGATCATTCTTTTATTACCTGATCAATTATCTAATTTTGACAAACCTCATGTACACACGCACACACAAATAATTATATATAAATGGGATTGTACAGCTATGTGAATGAATTCGCCGAAAAGAGTCTCTTCGCTGAAGGTCTTCTCTTTTAATATGGAATTACTTACTACCACACTGCCCACGTTTTACACATATGTAAGGACTCAGTTCCGTTTCGAAAAAGTGTGTATAATTAAACTGGGTGAACAAAGCATATATTTGTGTTCACCTCTGGTATGACTTCATCGAACTTTGAAGCTTACTGTAAGTTTTGCCAATAATGCGTCGTAAAAATTCACTTTAAAGTTGAAAGGGCTGAAATCTCCTGCTTAGATTTCGAGGTTAACATCGTTTTGTTTGACAGTAACGCTAAAATGAGAAAGTATTGCACAGAAACCCTTCTCGTTCTCCGGCTGGCGGAATACACAGAACTAATGAGGAAGTCATTGGATATAAGACCACACTTCAAGTTTTCACTGAACCATTTCCTCTACTTTTTCAGTTTATATGAGGAAATCAGTCTCTCGATGCTGTTAAAATATACGAGAACATCAGGTTCACCTTCTTGTTTTTCTTTCAATTTACTGAGTATTAAATCATCCAACATGGCGGCTAAGTTGAAGGTGTGATAGTTGTTTTACTTCGAAAGAAAGTACCTCATCAGTGTTACGCCAGGCCAATTAAGTAACTCATTTCTACTGTCCTGGCAATCAGCTTTCAGAGTGTATTTTGGCCTGATTCAAACACAGCAATATGAATCGAAACATGTGTTTCAGAAAAGCATGTTAGCGATGCTGAACCCCTCCACCATCATTCATGAGTGTAAATAGCGCTGATTAATCTTAAGTGATCGCCATTATCTTATGCGTGTTTTACTGACATTCTCAAGAATTGAGACGAGGGTAGGAGATAAATGCTCAGTAGAGGAAACCACAATAAGGTGTATTTAAAAGCGATGGGGAATGAGAAACTTCGCATTTGTCGATTGGTGTCTGACTCCAGGCCGATTTTCTTTCCATGATTCACACGCCGATTGTTTGAAGGAAGTGGAGATCTTACATGACGTTAGAGTTATGAATTCTCATCTCGTGCTCAATGATGAAGATCCTCACGCTGACTTCAGAATGATTCGCCTTCTCATTTAGATTATTTGCAGAAGATTTGTCAGACATTTATCCTCTGAATAATTGGATGCCTCTGATTTCCATGATAAAAATCCAAACAAACATAATGTCAAGTGATACTCATTATTTTAAACACAATCACATGATTAAGACTGAGTTAGTTGCGAAAAAGCGCGGTATTTTCCCAAGTTTTCGCTCTTCATCAACATATCTATTTACAGACTGTGATCAGATGGAGAATCATACAGTGTAATTTATCATGCAAAATGGAGAGTTTACTTTATAAATGAGACGGAGAGATGAAGATTATTGTAATCAATAAATGCTCTCTATCTCCGAGACAGCCCTTTAGGCGCACACAGAGCAGATAGGGGTGAAAGATATAACCAAAAGCAAGAAAAAGCAACGATAACCATCACTTGCAGAGATCGGAATGGTGTCATCTCCGTTGCCTAAATGCATGGACGACATCATTTCATGTACAGGTATCACGGATGAGAAATCCACAGGCAGCTGTAATTGGATCTGGAGAGTCAGTCATCCTGTAACCAATGTGAAGTTCTTCATCACTGAGCATAAGATGAGAATTTCCAACTCTAATGTCACATCAGCACATCCTTTTCCTTCAGACAATCGACGTGTGCATCATGGAGGGTAATTCTACCTGGATTGAGACATCCATCAGCAGATGCCTTCGCTGAACACCGGAGACCCGACGCCTGACCAGCAGCAATAAGCAATAGGCAGCTGTTTCAGTGAACCACCTGAGAACCAATTTCCCAGGAAACACTCACAATGAGATGAAAGTTAATTGGACATTCACGGAGGATTGGACTGCCTGCTTAAACGAAGATGGCCTCAAGTGTGCAATATATGTGTCCCACCAAAGTATTTCAATTTATATGGAATGCAGGGGATGAATCGTAAACATCATAATGAGAAGATCACTGTTAAAAAAGTTATTGCAGTTTGAATGCATACAAAGCATGTGTAGGCGAAGCAAACATATGTGAATTGTAATGATAAACTGCCTTTCTTATGATACATAAAATCATTCAGAGAATTCCTCACATGTCACCAATATCAAGAAAATGGTATTACAGACTGCATAATATAAGGTGAAGCACATATTTTTGGCTTCAATAGAAATCAAACGAAACGGTGTTCAGACACAAATGAGCGTATGTTCAAGATATCGGTCGATGTCTGTGTTTATTTACAAGAATAAATTCGGGAACACACTATCGTTATTTACCACTAACTCTTTGAAATTGGCCTAGTTGAATTAGCAAAGCATTTATTGCTACGACCAGGTGACATTCGCTATCGTATATCGTGGTCTCAATTTGTAGGAAGGTAGGAGAAAAGAAGTCTTTCGTGCAGAGGCAACAAATTCAATTAGGTTTTTCTCATTTACTTCAATCCTTTTAATGGCCCCTGTCCCATTCCAATAATTCCTGTATAAATAGACTTCGTCGTTATAGTGTAAATTTGTTTTCACATCTGGTATGATTACATCGAATTTGATCATCGAATAGTCTTCTGAGTGATGCATGTAGTCAAGAGAACGAACTAGTTGTGTTGCGTCTCCTAATTCTTCATGACGTGTCTGCATCAATTCATAGGCCAAACGACACACCTGAATACGGTGAGTAAATGAAAGACAGAAGAATAGATGTGGAAATAATATAACTGAAGCGAGTAATATTTGCATAGAACTTGACGTGGTGGTGTCTGTGTATAAAAAGAAGGCATTACGTTCGGCAACTCTTTGAGCAAGAACATGAATACTGTACAATATATCCTAAAGCTGTGAATGCAATATTTATCTTCCATCTTGTGAACATGGCAAACAGGGTGACTTCATCGATCAGCACTCATCTAATCCATGTATCACTGGCTTCTCACAAAACGGACTGAGCAAATAAATACTCGTGACCAGTAGGGTGCATCAGGTTGGGTGTGAGGACAAATACTCCTCGAAAATATTGGCTAGCGGTCGCGCTATATCGTAAATTGGCAGGTTAGAATTCATGGGCCATTGGATTGGGTCCCAGTGGCTTAGTGGTATACGAGCTCGCCTTGTAACCAGGAAGTCCTAGGTTCAAATCCCGTTGGTGAGTAGGTGCGTACGGATGAAGAGACCCAAACTAGGACGAAACAGCCGTCCAGTATTCCCAGGTTTTCCAATGGTTCTCTAACTAATGTCAGCTTATGATGAAATCCTGTAACCAATCAACCAAATCCCTACAAAACAATACTTGAATACTCGCTGTGTTGAAGTGCACCAGTTAATTCTACAGGTATTTCGAGGAAGATGGTGGTCAGGTTTTGAATCGCACCTGCTGACTTATTTCTATTCAGGGGAGTGGTGTTTTCTACAGTGGGACTCATCATGGAACACACTGTATTACAATGATTTTATATCTCAAAAATGATTAAGTATTTCCAGAGACATTTATCCTATCGTTTACTTTGCCTTGGCCAATACATAATACATATTAAGTATTTTAAAAGTGACTTTCCCTCTCCCCATGTCATCATCTTCTGAATTTCTTATTTCCACAATTCTATCCAATTCCATTGAATTATTTGTACTTTACATAATTCTTCTCAGTCATCTTATTCTTCTTAGTCATCGCTATTTAACAGATTTCTTGATTATGTAATCACTTGTTGATAACGCCTAAGAATGGACTTATTTGGAACTCCGTAGTCATTTTTCACCCCTTTCCTTCAAAATGTGGATGTAGAAAACTATATACATATATCACTATAAACCCAACCGACGATGAAGAACTAGTTAACCAGCAATTGTGTTCATCTACTATTTCATACACCCTTTCAACAGCAAAGCCTACAGGATACACAAAATCGTTTAGGGTGATCACAGAATAAATAAACTACTCACATTTGAAGATAATGTACAGACGAGAATATCTGTCTGTGACAATGCAATGATATCAACAAATGCATTTGTCATTGAAAAGATACTCTGACGACTATTCATAGCGGCTGACTGGGATCTATTTGGACTTCCATAAACAATATAATGCGGATATAGCTTGGAAATTTCTTCGAAAACTGAAGTTTCGTCTGTGGTAAGATAAACGCTTCGTTTGTTTTCTGAAAAATGGTGAATGCTATTGGATACTTCATTCGTGTAATTGAATTTGTCCAGATGCTTCGACTAAAGATGGAAGAAAGTGGGGGTGAATTATTTAGGATCCTTGGTAAATATGCTTACAGTCTCACCATGCAGCTGGAAAGAAACATCATAAAACACACAATTTGTAGCTCACAATTTCGCTAGTAGAATTCAGGTGTTATATTATGCTCTTCTGGATATGGGTGAACGATCACTCGATTGTCTAATGAGTACATAGGAAAGCTGACTATTTATTTCTTGTTCAGCCATGATTAGATTTATTGCATACTGTGTATCTATGCGGATATTTTGAAGCAAATAAAAACGATAACAGATGTCTGAATATCGTTATTGTGCATGTTTAGTACTAGACGTCCAATGGACTTGAAACTTATTCGCGTCTTATGTATCTATATATATGCAAAATATGTCCATAGAAAATGCCACCTTTGAAACGGAGAATTCAGGACCATTTACCATACACTTCATTTGAGAAATTAATTCAATTTATCACGTGACACTGACGTGGCAGTTTCATACAAGTTTATCAAGTTAAATGTTCGTCTAATAGATAGATAGATAGATAGACATATCCATAATGTGGCTTATGTTACTGATATATTAGCTAGAGAATACGATCATTTGTTCACAGGAGATGTGGACCTCTACGGATATTGTGATAGGCTGAAGCAATAAATCTCACTGGGCGGTCACAAAACGCCACCATTCATAACACGTTCAATCCCATGTCATTTAGGAGCCTAAGTCGAGTGACAAGCGGTGGAGATTTTACAGGATGATATTATTGAAGAAACTGAAAATCCTCATAACTCTCAAGTCGTTTTGGTGAACAAAGCGAACGTGAAGTAAAGATTCTGCGTCAGTTTCTGACAGCCGAACAGCGCGACGGAGTTGAGACTATGTGCCATGCCAACTATGGCAGAGACCTGATATCGTCTTAATTGCCCAAATCTGGCTTTAGTGCTCAAACTCAAAGCAGCATAATGGCAGATACCGGTAAAACAGAGTGTCCAACGTGGTTCAGAAACGCATTGGTTAAGGCACATGCCATTTAAACTACCAAGTGAACTGTTTACCTTCAGATGACCGACGACGCTGTTACTTAGAAACCTGAAGAATGTGAGTGTGTACGATGATGACGTCGTAATCCACAGTAAAGACAAAAGAGACCATCTTAATCGTGTCGAAGCCGTATTAAAACGCATTGAAGAGTTTGGATAGCAGATCAACAAAACCGAATCTCGGATAGTCAAACGTAGTATCACACTGATATAAGTATAAAACTTGGGCACTGTGGTAGAGTATAATTCCATTATAGATAAGATTTTATTTTGATAAATCGCACAGTGTTTACAGTTATATCACACTATTGGGTGGTGTATTAGTGGTGTATTAGGCAACTGTGAGATCAAACCGCTGGTGCAGAACATCTTGCCTACAAAGACAATTACGTCCACGAACTTCAAGAGGAAGCTAAGGTAGTTCCTGGGGAGATTCGCACTGTGCAATCGATTCGTGGAAAACTTCGACGAGATAGCAGCCCCTTTATACAGGCTATTAGGTGAAGTTTGTTTGACCGGAAGATTTGCAGAATTTATTCAACAGCACTAAACGGATTTTAGACTACCAAAAATGATGCCAAAACTACCTGTACCCAGAAAATAGTTCCCAGTGGGATCAGATGCGAGTGATTACGCCATAGTTGAAGTACACAGGTAAGGAGATGGAGTTGGCTTATGTGCCAGTCGTGTATTACCACATACAGAAGAGAAGTAATCGATGACAGAGAAAGGATGTTTGACAATAGTATGGCCAGTAGACAAATGGGGACAGTATTCACTCGACAAAGGCTTCCACATCGAAACTGAGGACGGCAAGAGGCCTACGTGAGACAATTGTCCGATTGAATGTAGCGCCTGCAGGAATTTGACTTCACGAACTCACACGTTCTTGGCAAGGAAAATGTTTCAACAGGCCTTTTATCTAGACCGGAATACGAAGTTGATTATCCGAGGACTGTTCACGGAATGCGTGTATTGAAATAACACCTATTAAGACTTGCCTCCAGTCACAAATGCGACCCAATCCTGAATACAGTCATACAGGTAATCACTAACGGAATGGAAGTGAATCAATCTACGGTGTGTAAGGATCTGACTACTCACACAGAATGATCGATTAAGTGTGAACGCCTACGGAACTCTGACTTGGGAAGAGAAAAATGGAAGGAGGTTGGCGGAAATACGCTACACCACAAGCTGACACAAGAATGTCACCAGCTTGGACATATATCAGTTGCCAGTACAACTGACCTCTTGAGACAGCGCATTTCCAATCCAGATATGGGAGAAGCTACGGGAAAATGAGTACTTGGTTGTCTACAGTGCTAGTTCATGAAAAGAGACCGGTACATACGACCGCTTCTAAAGTCAATTACAGTTACGAAATGTGTAGTTTTCATCCCTTGGAAACAGCCTCACAGCTGAAGTACATTTTTTCGTTTCTATTAATGTCTGGGTGACGATCCTTCATGAATAAGGATGAAGAGCATACAAAGTGAGGAGTGGATAACAGGACAGTGGATAATTGGTCGGAATGCCTTGGAGTGAGTGAACTCCCTATTACAATCATCGTCGATATTCGATCATATCATGTGGTGAGAATTTCGTCACCAATAATTCCATTAGTGGACAACACATCAGATACACGTGTGTGGGATGAAGTCTATGTGCTTGATTTCACATGTAGGTATCTAATACACGAAATCGCTTCCATTTGATTGATCGCTCCACCTAGAGATTGCCTTGGAGAAATGGTAGATATAATATTCTAGTCATTGAACTATCACATAAAAATATTCACTCACTTGTGAAGTATAATTCATTGAATCGAAATAGCTTTCCACGTGTTTCATGTACTCTGTCAAATCGTGGAACGCAGCTTCCTCCTTTAGCTAAAAATGCACAAATATAAGTCTCACTGAATTTTGTTGTAACAATAAAATACACAGCATGTAGTTTTTTCCTGTTTGTGGTGTAGAAGTGTAAGTCGCATTTCATCTCAACATATACCCTCTGAAAATAATTAAAATCTCCGACATATCAGTCAGAATAATACAGGAGTAGCTCATACAGAACCAGCCAAATTCGAACGATCTGATCACATCATCCAGACATTATCTGAAGCACTCATTTGACAATCATTTTTGATCAGATGAAAATATGTGGGCAGACTTGGAGCCAAGTGAAAACATCAGCAGAGAACCGGACGCAATGCAGACGTGCTGATGAAGTCCCATTTTCCTCTAGGAATTAAAGGAAATAATAGTAATAATAAAATCTCATTCCCCAAGAGCTATCACTAACACTTACTTTGTCTGTACGTCTTACATGCACACCTACAACAAGATGATGTTTTGACTTGAATTCCTTCACTGTCTCTTTGATTAACTCAGCTAGATGAGGTTTAGGCCGCAGAATGAATGCAGCCAGCTGACCGGCAAACCAAACGTAGGGTGCTTCGTGGTAATGAAATAGTTTTATAGCCAAGTCACTTGGTAGAATATTTGGAATCCAGTGATTGTTATTTGCAGGACCGTAAAGCAAATAAGGGCACTCCAAACTATCTGTAGTTGAATAAACAATTTTTTAATCACTTAACATTCATCATTTTAATCGAAATTAAAATTAACCAATTCATGACCACTGGATCAATTTAACGAAATGTTACGCTGAATACATTCATGAGGTGAAATCCAATGATGAAGTCAGTGGTGAAGTAAAATGATGACCTATTACTCAGTACAATGTTTAGATGTTGAGATTACTAATCATTACAATAGCTGACCACGTTGATCTTCGTCGACGCACAAGTATACAAATTCGATACTCCATAAACAACTTGTACATATGCATAAATATGTACGACTATACAGCCACGAAAATGAAATCGTCGAAAAGAGAGTTGTCTTCGCTGAATTCTTCGTTTCCATGTCCCAGTGAAGATTGTTAATTTACTAGACATGATTCAAGGTTCTTAAAGATGAGGGAAGCAATTTTCATTAAACATATACATCCCTAACTATGTGTACAAGAAAGAACAGACTTCAGAATTCGCCTACCATGGACTATTTGACCTATTTAAATATGATCTGTCATTGTTATGTACTTTTGTTTTACATAACTGAGTAACTGTCATGCCTTTTATTCTATTATTGTGAACCACGTCAACTGGGACGCGATTGTAGAGAAACTACGAAATTGTATCACCGTGAAAAATTTGTTTTCTTAAATGCCTTATCCTTATATATCCCTGTTATTGTTATCATGCTCACCCCGACTGTTGTCCGTTAATTCACATCCCGGAACTGGGATGCTGTATTTCATTGACCACATCAATTCAAATGCCTATGACAAATATTTCGTGATGGAAATACAAAGTCTGGTGAGAGAGAATTCACGGAATGTACGTGTTTGCTTAAATCGTGTTCTCAAATAAGCATTATGGGAATACATAAATCGTGCGTGTAATACGCTTAATCATGAGCAATTCTGCAAGTTTATCCAGCCTATTACTTATCATATGGACATGGAAACTAAAGTGTAATATTAGTGACAGATTTATAAAATTGCATTCAACTCACTTGACTCAAAAGTGATGTCTCTATAACTACAGTTGTCAGAAATTGGAAGGATGTTCTGCTGCAACCATTCGCGGAATATATCTCCAGTCTCATGTTTATTCACAACCAACACACGTCCAGTCATCAAAGACAGTTGTAAGCAATAGCTCAACTGGTGTATGGAACAACCGAATCCACACAAATTCGTGAAATTGAATGTCATAAACTTGGCTTTTGTGCAGTCAGCCGGATTCTACAATCAATCAAACAAACGACAATGTTGGAAATGTATGACTGTAGCCAGACAAAATAATTCATTCTCTGCATGTCGATGCAGATGGCGTTAAGTATAATCAAAGTGGCATCTTAATGTAAATATTTCAGTGTTTCAGTTGAGCATACGCAACACGACTAGTGAATTTTCATCTTCTTCAAATTTCATTCTCTGAGGCATGACTGCGAAAAGACGACCTTGGCGACCTGCTTAAATCTTGGGCTACCAAATACCTCATACATTACAAATAATATTGCATCTCATTTCTCATTTACAATTTCATTTTAAGTAACTAAATCTTATTCAAATATGACCTCTAGTCGGATTATTTATTCTCGTGAGTATTTATTATTTTTTAAAACCTACTGATGTGCAATTCCATAAACAAGAAAAAAAGCATACTGCCGGGTGACAAAGAGCATTGAAAAATATCCCTATTCAATTCATGACTGTTCCCGCAATTATGAGCACTAATTGTCGCTCCCTGCCAGCTAAAATAAACTGTCTTCAATCACTTGTATCTTCCGTTATATATCGAAATACTGGGATCATATCATTTCAAGAAACATGGCCACACGATCCATATGATGACAGTCTAGTGTATCTAAATGATTTCAAATTATTCAGACAAGATCGGTGTAGTTCCAGGAAGAAACGCAGTGGCGGTGTCACCATCTTCATCGATTCACAATGGTGTACGTTTAATAACGTATGTTTCGAATTATCCAGTGACAATATTGACTGCCTCACCGTTAACTGTCGACCTAAACATTTGTCAAAATACAACTACATTTACATCTCGAACATTTATATTGCTCCTGGATGCGAATCCGCAGAATTATCTTTATTTGCGGATGAATTTACCTCCCTTGCTGCCACCTCCTTCGGAAATTCCTTGACTATAGTTACTGGAGATTTTAATTCTAGTGATCACAGCTTCCTAATTTCACGTGGACACGATAGCATTGTCAACTTCCCGACTAGAATGGATAACACTCTTGATCTTGTGTTTACAAATGACACAGGTATATCTGAAGCTCGAAAAAGAACGCCACTCTTCAATTCTGATCACTGTATCATAAGAATATTGCCCAAAGTATATGGAAAGTAGCACAAAAGGGTCTTCTCATACCTTTGAAAGAAAACACAACACAGATGTTATTCTCATGACAACATACTGAATCTAAGGTCCATGTTAAAAGACACAAACTGGGACTTATTTACTAAACAAGCTCTTGATAACACAATTAACAACATAACACATTATCTTAATTTCTGTCTTATGTTTGTTGTTCAAAAGAGACAATCTTCTTGAAATTCGACCGCTTCCCCTCTTCTCAACTCAAAAAGCTCCTTCGTGAAAAAGAGAGGTTGTTCAAACTGAAAAATAAATCTGGTGTTAAGAGAATGAACAATTTGATTAAGCTTGAATCACAAAGATTGAATGCTCTCTATAACCAGAAGTTTCTTTCATGTAAATCCCCATCTAATATATGGAAGTTATTAAAGGAAATCATAGGTGGTAAGCAAATGATGAATGATATTTCTGTAGATGTTGGCACGCTTAATAAATCCTTCATATGTATCCCTGCAGATGTTAATGATGCCTAACTCAAATAGTGTAAATAATGACTGCTTCTCATGCTTTAATACGAATGACTTCTTCAAGTGTCTTCAATCTATCAAACCTAGTCAGTACCTTGGCCCTGATGGTGTTCCTGCTGTTATCCTTGAGAAGTGTGCTGACATCTTGTGTTCCCCATTAACTGACATTTTCAACGAATCGTTTTCCAAAAGTATTATACCTGACTCCTGGAAAAATATCAAGACTGTTCCAGTGCCTAAATCAACAAGTGGACCTAATGTTAAGTTCAGACCCATTGCTATTACCTCACCTTTTTTGAAAGTTATGGAAAGACTTATTTTACCTAATCTTGAACCCTGTTTAAAGCCTTTTAACGACCCCAACCAGTTTGCTTACAAACATAGCAGGTGTACTTTAGATGCCGCTGTTGTCCTACATCATAGTATAGTCTCTAGTTTAGATAAAGGAGCTAAATACGTTCGGTGTGCCTTCCTTGACTACACATCTGCATTTGACTCTGTTCCCAGGTCTCTCTTGCTAAGTAAGCTTGCTGCAACACAGGCTGAGACCTGGACAAATAAGTGGTTGCATTCCTATTTTTCTGATAGGAAGCAGTACACCGTCTACAATGGAAAGTCCTCCAATACCTCACTTACTTTAGCTGGTGTTCTTCAAGGTGCTGTTCTTTCTCCCTTTCTGTTTTCGTTTTTCTTACATGACTTGCCTCATTCTGATGTAGCCACTTTTGTTAAGTATGCCGATGACCTCTCGGTTTCTATGCCTGTCAACTCTCAGTCAGATTGTTCCAAATTAAATAACTTTCTGTCGGAAATTAGTCAGTGGTCCTCTTCAAACGGACTTAAGCTTAATCCGTCTAAATGTCAGGTAGTCAATTTCAGTTTCAGACGTAAACGTGACCTACAACAACTAGCTAGCTTACATGACCCCACTATCATTGACAGCAGAGAGTTTGAAAATACATCTAATGTCAAGTACTTTGGACCGAGTTTTTCCACCGATCTTTCCTGGTCTTCCCACATCTTGTTAGTTACTAGAAAGATGTTTCGCTTAACGTTCTACATTAGGAAATTTAGGCAGTCTGGCATAAACCAGTCTCTGTTTTTTCAGTTTGTCAATTCTTGTATTCTACCCATCCCCCTTTACTGCTCCCCACTGATCTTTCCTGGACTACTTAAGAAAGACTGCTTCGCTGAGAAGGGCACTAAAAGCCGTTAGTAGGGCTAGTGGGATATCGTTAAACCCAATAGTGAACACTATTGTGAATAAACATTTAATGTCATGTAAGAAATTAGCGAATACAATATTCTCAGACCCCAAGCATCCTCTCTTTACGCAGCTGTCTCCTTGCATTTCATCTGGTAGAACTAGAAGCAGCTATAGGCCGCTATATGCTAGGACCACCAAATACAAAAACTCCACAATACCATATCTGGCACAGCTGTTATGTGATGAGAAATCCGTTAGGTATGACACGATAAACTTACTGCGGCACTCCAACAAATAGTTCCCATTAGTTTTCGTTTTTCTTTCCTCGTTACTATACACTGTTGTTCTCATCTTCTATTACACACCAATTTTATATTTCATATCGTGTGGTGCATTGTTTGAAATGTAAACTTTACGCTGTTGTTTTTATTTTTTGTATTTAACTTTTTTTGGCTTTGCTCTTTGATTTTAAAATCTTATAAAATTTATGAGGTAGTTAGATGCAATATATTGTAATGCACACTGAAAATTCCATAACTGTACCACAAATACTGTTTGGAATAAAGCTGCTTTTATTATTGTTAATTCTGATGTGCTTGGAAAAAAGATACCAGGTAAATTAGCGCAAGGTACTATATATTTTCACGCATATCCCTGCGTCTTTTTCTCCACAATTATTCCACTGTGTATCCACACATTTAGATATACAGACATCGTCAGTGGCTAGACGATCACAATAAGCTAATCGAGTATTTTATGTAGTCTTTGATCTCCGTGATATCTGAAATTCGATTGTTTGGGGAAGGATACAAACTGCTATAATTAGCTACCGATGAACTTGAGTAAAGTTCAGCTCATTCGCTTGGTAAATAGCTATGTGAATTGTAAACATGCTTGGTGTCTGAGGTTACTGGTGTCAGAAAAGAGAATCGTGAGCAATAAAAACAATTTTGACCTGAACATTTTCATAAAGTTAAGTGGTACACATGCCATTTTCACTGTGATGGATTAATCAATAAAGATCGTATTTACCTGTAACTGTCGAATCCTTTTCTGTACGATTTGAGATATCTCATTTAGCTTGGAATTTCTTTCCTCAGAAAATCCATCCACTTGACCCAACTGATTCAGAACTCTCTCAACATTGAAAAGTATATCTGTGACGTGTTGTTGAAACTTGGACAAATCGTTTCCAAGCGAGAATATTGTTGCATTATCAACAATTGTTTCGTTGAGCTTTTGTAAATCAGCCAGTTGCTTTTGAAGGCTGTTCAAGGTGTAATTCATTTCATGCACGTAATGTATTGCACGACGTCGAAGGATTTCATGAGAATATCCGAAGGGAAATGAATCTGCATCAAAATATGCGGGAACTGTTTGTTAATCAATTTGTTGGAATTCATTTCAAAGTGAAGCTGTTAAATATAATACTACATGGTATAATTTGACTACATGCACCTGAGTGGCGAGGACATAAAAATACTTACTTCGTCAGAAATAGCAATGATAATGTGTGAAGGGACTGATGCATCTTTCGATTCCCAAGAGGCAAATGTAGTGTTGCATCAGAAATACCAAGGTCATTTTTCATACGCAACCTGGTGGCTGATATGCGTAAAACTAGTGTATCCTACGAAAGGTGACGAAACAGCCTGGTTCCAAACATGTGACACATATCACATATAAGTTACTGCACTATTTTATTGACAGTTTATGAATTGGAAGGAAGTAAGAAACCTGTCTTTGTGCTTGAATAGAGTTACTTCGCATATATTTTACGTAATCCACTAAAGAGGACAGCCGAAGTTTATTGAAACACTTCAAAAAGTGTTGAAAAATCATTCTACCGAAACATTTGTGTGGTTTTTCACGAAAAGCTTTGTTTCCATAGGTTACAGAAAGAAATTTCTTTATGTCATTTGGGCAGCATAAAATGTCAGGATTCACTATTAAGAGTAACTCAAGATGATCTACCTGCGAAGGACCAGGGATAAGTTACAGTCTAACATCAATGATGAACAAAACTACATTTTTTGTAAACACAATGTCTATGGACGAAGGTTCCCAGTGTGCCACTCCTGTTCGCGTGAATGCTGAACGGTATTTCAGCGAGAATCCTACCACATTTTAAATCTAGTCGTTATGCATCGATTAACCGTGGCTATATAAGAAAGTGAAACGAATAAATTGAGACAAACAAATAAATGAATAAATAATTGAAAGACTGGCGCGTTTTATTCACCATTGTACTCACAAGCCTCTCGATCACCTCATGTCAACTCTATTGGATGAATTAATCGACATTTTCGAGACTACCACATTTGCACATACTCACGTCTATCTCTTATATGATTTGGTGGTTAATCAGTATTTTTCTGCGTATGTGGTGCATCTATTTATTTTTATTTTTGATTACAGCTTGATTCCACACCGTATTTTTGGTACAAGTATGGAATTTTTAGCATGTGATATCGGTAGCCCAAAATTCGCAGACCAACCATAAAGATCAGGTGTGCGTCGGCGAGGGCCCGAACCCGGACAATGTGCATGGTTGGCGAGAGTCCTAACCACTGTGCCACCGACGCACACACTATATGAAGCACATTTTCGCTTTCTTGTGAGGATACTGTGTCTATGCAAACATTGTTCTGTTTAGTTCTATCCACAATTCATGCTAAGAATAAATTATTCGGATTTTAAAGAGTACTTTAGAATGAATGCAAGGCAATATTCTCGAAAATCAGCTCTCAAGAATTCGATTCATTTCAGGTAACATCACAGATTGCTATCACAGTTGGAGACTCATTGAGCACTAGGGAGTACTGGATAGACGTTTTCTCCTATTGTGGGAATCATTGGCAGTACGCATACGCTGGTACTCGAAACCAGGACCTTCTGGTCACAAGGTAAGTGCGTTCAACATTCAGGCACTGGAATCCGATTCAGCAACCCGTCAGTTCTAACTTCTACCGATTCACAATTTGAGCATGAGAACCAGTCATTGTCACTAGCGAGTATTTGTCCTCACTCCTTAACGGAGTGACCCCACTGATCACGACTTCTTACTAGGACTGATGATAAATACATCCTGCAATCAGTCACCAGCTAGCGTCATATTGATCTGCAAGAATTCGTTTGGTTTGTTTCAGGTTTGTCCACGGATTGATACCAGTAAGAGAATGAGTACCAAATTAGGATTAAACTGATTTTCTTACCGGTAACAATCCATAAATATATCTCGAAAAAAAGTTAACGTTGCTAACAACGTTAATAAAGGTATTAAAATTGAACCTGTTTTGATGATTACACTCGGAGAAATACCAAAATATATATATAAAAAATTAATAAAGAGGTAAGAGGTGAGAAAAATAGACTTAGGTCAAGTTAAAAGGACATATTCAAGGTCAAAAAATAAAAATGAAGACCACTAAACCAAATAGCAGAGGTAATAGTACATCTGCTATGGTATCAAAACAAAATTTACCAAGGAAGGTTTAATGTGATGACAAATTGTTTTTGAACGCATAAAGGTGGCTTGAACTTTCTAGTTGCTAGGGCTTCTACAAACTTTAGGATACGCCCCAAACACGTTTTATAGATAGGTTTAAAAGATCTGTCAACATCAATTTTATGACCTGTCTCTATAATATGTTTCGCAATAGAAGAGCTAGGTCTCCTGTTCTCACCGTTAATAGGTTCTGATGATTCCATTTGTTTCTGGAGCCATTTTGGAATATGCTCTGAAGCCCTTACTTGCAGAGATCGATGAGTCCTCCCTATGTATGTGTGTCCACACGTACATTCAAATTGGTAAATACAGTGGGATGTGACGTCATTTTTCGCATGTTCGAAGGGCTTAGATAGATATAATGGCTTTACATTCTCTAATATTATGATATTAGCTGCATAAAAAGTCTTTTTAACAGCAGCGTTCAGCCTTTGTCTAGTTATCAAGCTGCTTTGATGTCCCATATAGGGTAGCTTGATGTACACGTCTTTCTTAGGGGCGAGTTGGAGAGTGGGTCTTGGTGTTCTGACTACTTTATATCTCCTGATGAACTTTTCTGGATAATTGTTATCAACCAGAGTTTGTGTCAATATTCTTTCCTCTTCATCAAGCGTGTCTTCAGTGCATATTCGTCGGATTCTACTGAAGAGGCACCTTACTAAGCCTCTTTTGTACCGAATAGGGCAGAAACTGTGGTAATTAAGATACTGTCCTGTCCAGGTAGGTTTTCTATAAATAGATCTTTTTATTGACCCATCAAGCCGTCGACTAAGCAATATGTCTAGGAAAGATAAACAATTATCTTCCTCTTCTACAGATGTAAGTGATATGCTATTCTGAACTTCATTCATTCGATTTAAAATTGAGGTGGCAGAACAAGGCTTATCACTGATGACTACGATATCATCTACATACCTTCTATAAAGTGGCACATTTTCGATTAAATCTTCCGATAAATTCTCAATGTACGACATATAAATATCTGCTAAAAGGGGCCCTAACGGACTGCCCATAGCAACACCATCAACTTGGCGGAAACAGTCGCCTTCAAATGTAAACCTAACATTGTTAGTACATAGAAGTAATAAATCTTTTAAGTAAGATATAGGGAACGGGATGAAAAAATTGTTTGTGGAAATATAATCACACAAAATGTCAACTGTTTTGATCAAAGGCACATTAGTGAATAACGAGTTTACATCAAAAGAGTACATATTCTTGTTCATTATATTAATATTACTATCATCAAGAACATCAACCAATTCAAATGTATCTTTTAACACATACTTACAGAATTGTGTTTTGACTGGAGTCAATAATTCCACTAACCATTTAGCAAGTTTATGCGTTGGGGATTTGCACATTGACAATATAGGACGTAGAGGATTATTGGGTTTATGTATTTTCGGCAACCCATACATATGTGGGAATTTACAATCTGACGGTTTTAATGAGTCCAGTTTATCTTTACTTATAGCATTTAGGCCATGAAGCTTCAGTAGATTAGCTGTCACTGTGCCCTGCAACAACTGAATATCTTCTGAGGAGGGATCACGACTAAATTTGCTCTTGTCATCAAGAATAGACATCATTTTAGATTTGTAGTCACTTTTATTCATAATGACGACTCCAGAACCTTTATCAGGTTTAGTAATAATTATATTAGAATTTTCCCGTAGCTCTTTCAAGGCTTTGAAATGTTGGGAATTTAAAATACTCTTCTCCTTTGGGTTGTTGTTTAAAAACTGGTGAGCTATATCCACCATCTTGGCCTTAAACCAACCCCGATCTTCATCGGATGTTGCGGTAAGAGGTTTGAGTTGGTCATATAAGTTTTCAAACTCAGCATGGATGGCTAAATCCGTAAATTGCGTCCGAGGAACACAAAATTTGAGTCCAAGGGATAAAGCTTCTTTCTGATGAGTAGATAGAGTAATATCAGAAAGATTTGTAACGTACTTATCAGGATTCACCGGGAAGACATCTACGCGGTTTCGATCATCGATTGAACTCTTCAATTTATTTTGTATATTCGTCTTCGTTTTCTGAGTAACTTCTTTACAAAACTGAAGAAATTTCATGTGGCATATTATTGATAATTCAGATAAAATAAGCGACGCATCGGTATGAAGAACAAGTAGTCCTTGTAAGGTTTGTTTAACATTTTCGATATGTGACTTTGTAAGACGAACAAGATTAGAGATATTTGGTTGTAATTTACTGAATTTCAAAGTTTTATAAAATTGCCTCGGGAAAGAATGATTTTTAATACATAATTCATAAAATTCCAACGTGTTACGTTCGACGATAATTTTACACCTTAGGTTAACAAGTTCATTTAACCTTTTGATAGTGTGTGGAGGGAGCCTTCCCTTTAAAATTCAGTAAATTACAACCAAATATCTCTAATCTTGTTCGTCTTACAAAGTCACATATCGAAAATGTTAAACAAACCTTACAAGGACTACTTGTTCTTCATACCGATGCGTCGCTTATTTTATCTGAATTATCAATAATATGCCACATGAAATTTCTTCAGTTTTGTAAAGAAGTTACTCAGAAAACGAAGACGAATATACAAAATAAATTGAAGAGTTCAATCGATGATCGAAACCGCGTAGATGTCTTCCCGGTGAATCCTGATAAGTACGTTACAAATCTTTCTGATATTACTCTATCTACTCATCAGAAAGAAGCTTTATCCCTTGGACTCAAATTTTGTGTTCCTCGGACGCAATTTACGGATTTAGCCATCCATGCTGAGTTTGAAAACTTATATGACCAACTCAAACCTCTTACCGCAACATCCGATGAAGATCGGGGTTGGTTTAAGGCCAAGATGGTGGATATAGCTCACCAGTTTTTAAACAACAACCCAAAGGAGAAGAGTATTTTAAATTCCCAACATTTCAAAGCCTTGAAAGAGCTACGGGAAAATTCTAATATAATTATTACTAAACCTGATAAAGGTTCTGGAGTCGTCATTATGAATAAAAGTGACTACAAATCTAAAATGATGTCTATTCTTGATGACAAGAGCAAATTTAGTCGTGATCCCTCCTCAGAAGATATTCAGTTGTTGCAGGGCACAGTGACAGCTAATCTACTGAAGCTTCATGGCCTAAATGCTATAAGTAAAGATAAACTGGACTCATTAAAACCGTCAGATTGTAAATTCCCACATATGTATGGGTTGCCGAAAATACATAAACCCAATAATCCTCTACGTCCTATATTGTCAATGTGCAAATCCCCAACGCATAAACTTGCTAAATGGTTAGTGGAATTATTGACTCCAGTCAAAACACAATTCTGTAAGTATGTGTTAAAAGATACATTTGAATTGGTTGATGTTCTTGATGATAGTAATATTAATATAATGAACAAGAATATGTACTCTTTTGATGTAAACTCGTTATTCACTAATGTGCCTTTGATCAAAACAGTTGACATTTTGTGTGATTATATTTCCACAAACAATTTTTTCATCCCGTTCCCTATATCTTACTTAAAAGATTTATTACTTCTATGTACTAACAATGTTAGGTTTACATTTGAAGGCGACTGTTTCCGCCAAGTTGATGGTGTTGCTATGGGCAGTCCGTTAGGGCCCCTTTTAGCAGATATTTATATGTCGTACATTGAGAATTTATCGGAAGATTTAATCGAAAATGTGCCACTTTATAGAAGGTATGTAGATGATATCGTAGTCATCAGTGATAAGCCTTGTTCTGCCACCTCAATTTTAAATCGAATGAATGAAGTTCAGAATAGCATATCACTTACATCTGTAGAAGAGGAAGATAATTGTTTATCTTTCCTAGACATATTGCTTAGTCGACGGCTTGATGGGTCAATAAAAAGATCTATTTATAGAAAACCTACCTGGACAGGACAGTATCTTAATTACCACAGTTTCTGCCCTATTCGGTACAAAAGAGGCTTAGTAAGGTGCCTCTTCAGTAGAATCCGACGAATATGCACTGAAGACACGCTTGATGAAGAGGAAAGAATATTGACACAAACTCTGGTTGATAACAATTATCCAGAAAAGTTCATCAGGAGATATAAAGTAGTCAGAACACCAAGACCCACTCTCCAACTCGCCCCTAAGAAAGACGTGTACATCAAGCTACCCTATATGGGACATCAAAGCAGCTTGATAACTAGACAAAGGCTGAACGCTGCTGTTAAAAAGACTTTTTATGCAGCTAATATCATAATATTAGAGAATGTAAAGCCATTATATCTATCTAAGCCCTTCGAACATGCGAAAAATGACGTCACATCCCACTGTATTTACCAATTTGAATGTACGTGTGGACACACATACATAGGGAGGACTCATCGATCTCTGCAAGTAAGGGCTTCAGAGCATATTCCAAAATGGCTCCAGAAACAAATGGAATCATCAGAACCTATTAACGGTGAGAACAGGAGACCTAGCTCTTCTATTGCGAAACATATTATAGAGACAGGTCATAAAATTGATGTTGACAGATCTTTTAAACCTATCTATAAAACGTGTTTGGGGCGTATCCTAAAGTTTGTAGAAGCCCTAGCAATTAGAAAGTTCAAGCCACCTTTATGCGTTCAAAAACAATTTGTCATCACATTAAACCTTCCTTGGTAAATTTTGTTTTGATACCATAGCAGATGTACTATTACCTCTGCTATTTGGTTTAGTGGTCTTCATTTTTATTTTTTGACCTTGAATATGTCCTTTTAACTTGACCTAAGTCTATTTTTCTCACCTCTTACCTCTTTATTAATTTTTTATATATATATTCCTATGACAAGTCCGTGTGTGATCAGATTGTTCGAAATGTGTTGCGCAATTACTACAATGTTTATATCAATCAGGGTCATGTATACTACACTACTGATAATCACATAATAGTGGACACCGAACACTCGGAATGAAGTAGTGAGTTCTTCTCAAATATTCAAACCTGTGAAATGGCACTTCATTTCAAAGTGGTGAATATAACCATACACCCAAGTTAGATAAACCAGACTCAGTCATTTAACTAGTGAGTTTTCAAACCTTATTTTAAACGTCGTCATACAAACTATCCGGCCTCATCATCCTAGTTATGTAAAGGGAAGCATGTGCAACACAAAACTGGTATTCATGCATGTTGAACTGATTTGAAGCAGTTTGTGAAAACGTCCAGTATACTACTTATTACAACCAGGCAGTTCATACACTAGTATTCACTAAAGTAATAAGGGCTAGTGATTAGTAGGCTGCAGGCACATATCGACCATCGGTCCAGAGCTTCATTTCAAAGTCAGTCGGCGCTAGGCGTATCACTGGAAGTCTATGAACAAACCATTTCCAAGGCTGTCTCGTCATCAGATATGAAATACTAGTGGAACGGCCAACTGTACTTTATTTTATTTTTTTATTTTTGGTAACAGCTTGATTCCACACTGTATTTTTGGTACAAGTATGGAATTTTCAGCGTGGATATCGGTAGCCCGAACTTCGCAGGCCGACCATAGATATCGGGTGTGCGTCGGCGTGAGCTCGAACCCCGGACCATGTGCATGGTCGTCGAGAGTCCTAACCACTGTGCCACCGACGCACAAGTGATGGTTCACAGATGGAAGTCTGACGTTTGAGACGTGTAAAGTCTACACATCAGTATGAATGTCAGTGTTCATCACTTCTATAGACATTCAATGAAGCAACAAACACCTGACGATTCCACAGATTTACTGAACTCCCATGAAATAATAACAACATCATAGTCGTCAGTGAAGTCATTTTGAAATGTGTTCATATTAATAATAATACAACGCAAATAGATCCAGTCTTCCACAGGTCGCTTTGATAATCTCAAGCGAAGGCGATCAACATCGTCAAATATATTGGGATAATCCCATACAGATAATTCTATTCCACAAACACAATTCTGTTGAAAGAGGAGCTGTTGTAACCTCTAACTATGAGCGATTCAAAGGATGGAATTTATAGTTTGTCATATGTCATACTGCCAAAAAATATTCCTTGCCAAAATATGAGAACATTCACAAGTGTACACCTCTTTGAAAGTTACTGTCACTGTCTGAAATCATTAATAAGTTTCCAAATTATTCATTCAATCGTCGTACTCATATTTCCGGTTATTCCATAAATAATTAATAAATGAATAAAAAATTAAATAAATAAGTAATTAACAAATAATAAATAATTAAATCGAAATAATAACTTCATGGTTCACGCCTGAATACTGTACTCACCTGCCAGTTTGCGTAAGGAAAATATCGACTGATTTATCCATTCCGTCTTCTCTTTCGAATCTATGCTGTTCTTCAACAATGCTCGCCGACAACCATTGATCTCTGTGGACACACTCCTGTTGAAATAACGCTGAGTGTACAAATGGAGGAGTGGTAATAGAGGAAGCCATAAAATCAGCAGTATCATGAGTTCGTGTTTGGAAGTCACTTTGCAACAGACTTGCAATTATGAAGAATAAACAACTACTCACCCAGAAGATTCATCTTGTGAGTGCTTGATTGATGTATTAAATCACACTGCCTTATTCAGACTAGAAATTCAAATTTACAGAAATAGCTTAACATTTGGAAGTGATTTGTGGAGTGTACATAATCTTGAATCACAAACTAGGTCATGGTTATTTGAAATGTAATTGGTTCATTAGCTGACATCAAAGTAACCAACAGAATGCGTAGAAAAAACAAATTATGACACGAAAATCCAGAATATCTACCTTGTGAAGATACATTTTTCAATGCACACCGTTGAGTGATTTGTCTTTTACCTGACAAATGATAAACACAATGTGGCACTGACATTCCATCCAATAATGGACCAACCGAAACGACGCTTCATCGACAGTTGTTTCTTTGTAATCGGTATTACTTCCACTCTCTTTCATATGCTATCATGATTCTACGAAACAATATAACAGGGTAACGTATTTCAATGATGACATTATGGACATAGCCTAACTTGTTTTCCACGAAATCATGGGAGTAAATCCATTCTACCCAGCTTTTAATGATACAACTAACAAATAACCATAGCAACTTACTTGAAGTGAATATATATATATATATATATATATATATATATATATATATATATATAATTGCTAGCATAGTTTAGATGACAATGGCAAACGTGTAATTGAGGGTAGGAAAATTATGGCCAAAGAGAGTTAAGAAACTCACACTAAGCTATATTTTTCACTGTAGATGTTGAGATACAACAGCCTGACGTGTGAGAATTCAAAATAGATATGAACTGAAATATTCACAAATCAATATCAGATGTGTTCATATTAAGGAGATTGCAGACACAAACTCTCAACTAATATGCTCATGTCAGTTTTTTTTACAGGTGTTTGACACTGATGAGTTGCCTACCACTCTGTACACTGACATAAGTAGTGAGAAGTCTGTCGTGGCATGTGCTACTAATAAGGCTTCTCATTCTTATGCAAAGTACACGTTCATCAGCATACAAAAATCAAGTAGCAAGTAGATAGAATTGACGTCAAGGCGAACAAAGGATTCAAAGTTTTGGTAAAACATGAAAGAAGTGTACAGAAAGACAAAGAAAGATAATACGAGGGGCAGAAGTGGAACAACACAGAAGATCTGTGTAAGTGATGATATAGAGATAAGGTGTACAAAGTAAGGCTACATAGGGACACCAAATTACAAATAGCCATTCCTTCACCAAGTCGCCTGTGGTGTGCAGTTATACTGTGGCATAATAAAATGGGAGTAAACACAATTTAGAATGTCTGAATTCATCCGGATAATCCTCAAGTGAAGTTGCATTTATGGTCAATGGAGCAAATGAGTCCAGATCACTACAGTTCAGTGAAAGGAATGATAACATCAAAAAAGCATGTGGCTGGAAAATTCTGGAATACAAGGAGACAATAGTGAGTAGAATCAAGAACGGTTGAGAAATGTACTCAGTCTATCTACGGTTGATTAGTGCAGAAGTAGCTTTTGGAACGAAATATTCCCATATTCAGTCATAAGAAAGGCACAAATAGCAACGAAAAGTTTCTTTTCGACGATGCAATTTCATGAGCTATACAATCGTAATTATAATTAAACACATAAGTTTATCTTCACCAAACAGATAATGGCAAATTTTGTCCTTGCAAATTCTATTACATAATGTGAGGTGAAAGAAGGGATCACTAATTATAAATTAGAAGAAATTAGACTGTTTGCCAACATTTATTTATCACCTAAACATGAATTCTAACAGAATCATTTACTCTCGTAACTTCATTAATCATTTACGACCAAATGACTTTTATATTCCAAAGAAACCAAGGAGGAAACATCGTACTGGTTGGCAGAGAGCTCTCAAACGTACACCAATACACTTAACTACGGTCCCCGTCATAATGAACACAAACTGTCGCTCTCTGCCAAACAAGATAATGTACCTGAAATCCTTGATGTCAACTGATACGTATCATAACACCGCCATAATCACATTACAAGAAACGTGGTTGCATGAACTGTATGATGACAACCTTATTTCACTAAAGGACTTTATTTTATTTCGTCAAGACCGTCAATGTTGTAATAAGAAAAATGGTGGTGGCGTTGCAACTTTTATTCACTCCAAATGGTCTGTCTCAAATAACGTCTGCTTCACCTTCTCAAATGACTTCATTGACTGTATTACTGTCAAATGTCGCCCCAAACATCTCCCCAAATATAAACAAATATATATTACAAATATGTACATTTCTCCTAGCTGCTCTCCGTCTGATCTATCTAATTTTGCTGATGAATTCACCATGTTTGCTGCTGCCAACTCTCTATCCGTTATTACTGGAGACTTCAACACCTCAGATTGCTCCTTTCTTGAAGCACTTGGTCACACAAACATAGTCAAATTTCCCACTCGACTTGACAAAACACTCGACTTAGTTTATACTAATGATGAAGGAGTATATGAAACACGTAGACGTTCACCGATACTTAACTCCGATCACTACGTTGTCCGCGTTTTGCCAAAAATATACAGCAAAACACATATTAAAATCTTCTCACACCTGTCTACGATGGCACAACAAAGAAGCTACACATCTGACAACCTTCTCAATCTAAGATGCATGTTAAAAGATACTAACTGGGATCTATTCTATGAAAGTACATTAGATGACTCAATCACCAATATAATGGATTATCTCAAGTTCTGCCTCTACATATGCTGTCCCAAACAAACACTGTTCAAACGCCTCGACCGCTTCTCGTCTCCCCATCTCAAACAACTTCGCAGGCAAAAAGAAATGTTATATAAATGCAAAGACAAGTTAGGACTTAAAAAGATTAATGCTCAAATCAAATCTGAAATCAAAAATCTTAATGCTATCTATAACCAAACACTTTTATCATGCAAATTTCCTATCAGCATGTGGAAATTTTTCAATGAAATTACTGGCAATAGTAAGCGATGTAATGTTTTTCCCTCTTGTGATGTTAATGCTCTTAATCTGTCTTTTATACGCTCTCCTTCTACTATAACCACTTCTAACGTTACTAATCTTGTAGCTGATAACTTCCAGGACTTTAACACTCTTGATGTTTTAAAATGTCTTAAAACTCTTAAGCCCTCACATAGTCTTGGCCCTGATGGCATACCTGCATATGTTCTAAAACAATGTGCAGATGCTTTATGCTCTCCTCTAACTAATATCCTAAATGCTTCTTTCTCCGAAAACGTTGTACCTGTTCCATGGAAAGACATTAAAATAGTCCCTGTCCCTAAACCTGGCAACAACAAGAACGTAAAGTTCAGACCCATTGCCATCACTTCCCCGTTTCTAAAGCTCATGGAAAAACTAGTACTTCTTAAACTTGAACCCTCCCTTAAAAGCTTCGAAGACCCCAAACAATTTGCCTACAGACAGGGTAGGAGTACTTTAGACGCTGCAGCCGTCTTACACAACAGTATTGTCTCATCATTAGACAAAGGTGCCAAATATGTCCGCTGCACGTTTCTTGACTTCACTTCTGCTTTCGACTCTGTACCTAGATGTCTCTTGCTAAATAAGCTCTCCATGACACAAACCGAGTCCTGGGTCACTAACTGGTTGCATTCCTACTTTTCAAACAGAACGCAGTACACCGTATACAAAGGCGAATCCTCCTCTGCTGTGCTCACAGAAGCTGGTGTCCCCCAAGGTGCTGTACTCTCCCCACTTCTCTTTTCTTTCTTCCTACATGACCTACCGTCTTCAAATGACATTAACTTTGTCAAATATGCTGATGACCTAACTGTATCTTTACCTGTCAAATGTCAAAGTGACTGCTCTAAACTAAATGGCTTTTTATCAGAAATAAGCCAATGGTCCAAGGAAAACGGTCTAACCTTAAACCCCTCCAAATGCCAAACAGTTAATTTCACCTTTAGGCACAAATCTGACCTAAACAAACTGGTTAGGACTCACGAGATGTGCAACATAGATGGCACTGAAATTGAAACCAAGTCGGAAATTAAATACCTAGGCGTCACTCTATCTTCTGATCTTTCCTGGTCGTCTCATATCTTGACGATTTCTAAGAAAATATTCCGTTTTACCTTCTACATCAAGAAGTTAAGACTTTTTGGTGTAACCCAACCCTTACTCCTACAATTTGTTAACTCCCGTATTCTGCCTATTATTCTCTATTGTTCCCCCTTAGTCTTTCCTGGGCTATTGAAGAAAGACTATACCTTATTACGTAGGATGTTAAAGGTTGTCAGCAGGGTAAGCAGTGTGCCACTTAGCCAGCTTGTTAATATTCTGGTGGACAGGCACATGGACTCATGTGAAAAATGGGCAAAAACCATTTTATCTGACTCACAACACCCTCTACATTCACAACTCTCCTCATGTATCTCTTCAGGGAAAATCAGAAGCCTATATAGGAAACTATATGCCCGCACTAGCAAGTACAAAAACTCATCCATACCCTACCTAGCTCGAGTTCTGTGCGATAAAGAAAGCGTTAGGCGGGAAACCTTTCACTTATTAAATAGTCAGTAGAACAAATGGATCTCGTCTTTCCAAGTCACATCATTTACAGGTACAACGTTTTCTCTCTACCTTTTTTTTTTCTCTTTCTGTATTATTTTTGTTATGTGCTGTTTTGTTTCTCTCTTCCTTACAAACTCTACTTAAAACATTCTTGTTCGTTCTTTCACACTCTGTATACCTCGACCATTTTGCCATTGCTTACGCCAGTAAATATGCTAGTAGTATCTACTTTTCTAACACCTTCAAACACTCTGTTTAAATTTTGGCTTTGCTACCAACATGCTAATATGTTGTTGTCAAAACTAACTGAGATAACCTTAATCTATGTAGAACTATACTTATTGTTAATGTACTAACTGGATGCAATATTGTAGTAAAATGCTGAGAATTCCATTCTGTATCACAAGTACTGATTTGGAATAAAGCTTAACTTATCTTATCTTATCTAGTGTAGAATGGACAAGAACTAGTGGAAAGGCTATAAGGTATTTTTGTATAAGATCTGTGTGGAAAGCAATGTTATTAATAAACAGTAATAGAGTGGTAATAAAGTGTGGATGGTGGGAATAGTAATAATAATAAAAGTATTAAGAACAGTAATAATAATAATAAATAATAGTGAACTTACATATTAAAGGGAGGAGAAAAATTATAGTAAGAAATTTACT